GTACCATAAGCTACTTTTTCTTTATGCAAAATTTATAACGTTGATATCTGAAAATGTATGTCCTTTATAAATTAATTATTTTGATTTTGAATTAGTATATACTTTACTGTAATATAATATAATAATCAGGCAACTACGAATACAGCAACTAAAATTATCACTGTGTAACCACAAGACCAGTAACTACAAATATTCTAAATTACCGAAACTGTACTTCGGTACTTGTGCCATATAATAACTAGGTAATTACGAGTACATTAACTAAAGTTATCATTATCACTACGTACCCACAGGACCAGTAACTACAAGTATACAAAACTACCGACACGGTACTTCGGTACTTGTACCGTATTAGTTACTTTGTACTCGGTACGTAAATACCCATTTGCAACGGCACTACGCGCGATATCTCAGATATTATGCCCACATGACGTGTGAGAACGCAGCACAATTAAACGAAGATGTTGCTTTAACTAGGTTTCGCAAACATTACAGCATAATTGGTTTGGGTGGCAGCAACAGGTTGCTTTTTATTGGCCAACAAAACATCAACTTATAATGTAAGTTTGTACACCACTCTGTAATAAAGGTACAAATGTTAATAATAATATTAAAAACGCGAGTGAGTACGGATAGAGATGGATGTGTGTTATTCTTTCACGCAAAAACTGCTAAATCGCTTTAGAAGATTTTTACAGTAACATAGATTATACATCAGAATAACACATAGGCTATAAATTGCATACGAGTGAAACCGCGGGCGTAGGTAGTATTGATGTATAAACGTGAAAGTTCGTGAGTATGGATGGATAGAAGGATAGATGGATGGATGTGTGTTACTCTTTCACGCAAAAACTATTGAACGGATTTAGGTGAAACTTTATAGTAATATATCTACATCTATATGTCAACACAGACTATAAATTTCATTGGTAGAAACCGCGGGCACAGCTAGTATAGCTATAAATGTATATAAATAATTCTAGATATACTTTCGATTGAAGCAAACTTTTATAAAAAAGGTGTTTTTTTAGTAAAATTTATGGTCTTGTTATTTTTTTTTTATTAATAGGTTCTTTTTTCCTCTTTCATCATCTGATTCTTCCTTATCCCATTTATTTGTGTTCGGCGTAATATGTTTTTCGCTTCCATTCATCCCTGTTCGCAGTCATCGCGTTATTTACTACCTTTCTTACCATATCATCTTTCACACAGTCCATCCATCACTTTTTCGGCCTTCCTCTGCCCTTATAACCATCCACATTCATATGTAACACCTTTCTTAAAATATTATCCTCATTCCTACGCATTACATGTCCATACCATGAGAGACGATTACTCTTCAACCTCTCTGACACCGGTGCCACTTTTTTCCTCTTTATTAATACTTTATTCTACATACAGTATGATGAAGATATGTTTTATTTGTGCATAAAATTACATTAAAATGCTAAATGCAGAAGAAGTCTAATTCTCAAGTCAAATATTAATATATATCTAAATATATACATTAATAGATATGTATAAAAAAGACTGCGACATAAATTAAATTATAAAAAAGTCTGAATCCATTTAAGCGTCATAAAAATATGCAAAATGTAAGTTTTGACATTAATAGTATTAGAAACATCATACAGTTTCAATTTTAGCATCCACTTATGACCATGGCTTTGCATGAGTGCACTAAATGTTGAGATCTCATTTTTATTTTAAACTTGCTGTTCGCGCGATTTCTGCCGCGTGGAATTTAACTTTATTTTTTAAATAAAAGTTATTACATCAACTACCTGCCAAAAAATGTCCCGTCAAAATCAGTCCAGCCACTTCAGAGATTAGCCGGAACAAACAGACAGACAGACAGACAAAAATTGTAAAAAATGTCATTTTGGTGTATGTATCGTATTTATATTCATATGCATGTAGTAAAAAACGGTTATTTCAATATTACATACAGACACTCCAATTTTATTTATATATATAAATGTATACACTAGCGACTCGTTCCAGCTTCGCATCGATTCATTACAAATCTTTGAATTCTCAGCTTGTTCTATACTATATCACTCTATCTATTGCTGAAAACTGCATTAAAATCTGTCGTGCCGTTTAATTTAACCGAACTGAGAGCGGAGGCGACTTTGTTTTATAGTAAAATGTGACTTGCGAGTAATTTTGCTTTCAATATGTGAAAGAATTTTTAATAACGGTCAAGTATTTATTCAGTTTATCCATTAGAGATATTAAATTAAAACTTTCTTATTTTTTTATATTAATATAGAAATGTAGATTAGTAAAACTTCTTAATAGATAATAATGTATGTTTCTTAACAAATAGTAACTATCTATGTATGTATTTGTATCAGTTATGTAGTACCCATAACACAAGCTAGCTTAACTTGGGTCTAGATGGCGCTGTGTGAATTGTCCTGAGATTATTATTATTATAATACAAACATTTTTTTTAATGGATGATAGTGGAATGGCGCTAACGACTTACGCTGGCGGGGTACCAGTGGAAGATGATAAAATGAGCATGAGGTCAGGTGAGCACATCGTGGTCATTTCACGATGAATTTATCACAACACTTTCCAAAGGAACCACGTGGACGTCAACCTGACGTGGTACAGTGCTAGAAATGGGGTTATCAGTCCACATTACTGACAATCCCCTTCCTTCTTCCTTCTATACTAACATTATGAGGAGGTAAAGTTTGAGAGCTTGAATGTTTGAGGTAATATCCGGTAGTACTAATTTAATTTTGAAAATATTTTAGCGTTAGATATAACATCACGCTTCCACCAATAGGAGCGGAGTTGTACCTAATTAAAAAAGTTGCAAAAACGATGCATTTGCAAAAACCAACAATTAAAATCTAAAAAGTAAGGTAAACACAAATCGTATGCCTATTCCCATTACTGCCCTTCACCCGGTTTCTGTTTTACCCAATGGTTAGCTGGAAGAGAAAGCCATATGTCATTAACCTCGCCAATTGTTTTTTTTTCGGACTACTCTAATTCTGTTAACCGCAACTGGCCTTTACAGCTTCACCGGACGATAGAGGGCGAGTGCAGATGGTACTCCAACCCTGCGGAAGGACTTATGGAGCGGGTGCGACTTTAATCTGAGGGCACCACTAAGGGTTCGAACCTCGGCTCAGGCCGTCGTAATATAGGTCCCCGTTTGAATTGGACGGGAGATCTATCGGAGGGGGCTCGCCAATTATTATTTTAGATAGTGCAATAAAGGATAAATAAATAAACATAATATTTGTAATAGATATAGATATTCTATAACAATGTAGATAGTGTTGCGGACCACGAGTCGGCATCGAAAATATGTAAATAAATTTTGTGTATAAATTTGTATTTTTCCAGTGTTTTGACTATTGTTTAGGTTAGACTATTGTTTGTACCATATACCCTTTGTAGCGGCATAGAATTGTGAATTCTATGTCCGCCCATTGTGTAAATTCTTAGGGATAGCGTAGCCTGAACATGTGGCATTTAGTCGCACGATGGTTTTTTTTAGTTTTTTGTATTGTTACTATTGTATTTAATTTTAAATGTGTGCGTATTAGCTGTTCCGGCCCGTCGGTCACCGACATGTGCAGGAATTTTCGGGAGGGTGGGACGGCCGACGCGCACGGCTCGGCGGGGTGGGGAAGGACGCGCTGAATCTGGTTCTCGATCGCGCTCTCTTACGCATACGCCACCGACGAAGAACCACCGCCGGCGCAACGACCAAGAAAGTCCGAACCGGCCCTGAGCGCCCCGTCTGTACATACGCACCACTGCGGGGTAATTCCTACCCTCCTATCCCCATAGTCCATCCCCTCGGGTGTTATCCTGAGGGATTGTTAGGGACGGTTAGGTAGGTAGGGACCGGTAGGTTAGGGGCTTGCAAGTGCCAGAACACGATGCCGACTACGAGAAGCCAAGCCCCGGGAGCAGAGAAAAAGACCACGCGGGAAAATGAACAGACAGAAGCGTCCCCTTCTGAAACCACGCAGATGTCCGCGTCCGCCGCGCCGTCGAGCGCGCCACAGGCACAAGCCGCCCGCGCCGCGTTTACCTCGGACTCCGCACCGGCGCCACCGTCGCAGCCGCCGACGACAGATGTACGTCCGGCCCGGGCCGCGTCGGTGCGATCGCGCCGCTCTACCGCTTATAGCTAAATTAAAGAGGCTGGAGTACGAGGCAGCGCTACAGATGGCGAAATTACAGGCTGATTTAATTAGAAAGAAGTTGGCAGCCGATGTCGCCGCGGTACATGAAGAGACCGATAGAGATAGCGTGTGCTCCGAGGAAGGTTTTTGCAACGTATAACGGATTGGTTTCAACGTACCGAAGTACGGGGGGAGCAGAGAATTAATTCCCCACCGCCTACGCAGAAAGAGCCAACAGAAAGGCAAGCTTCACCGCCGAGGACGCCGAAGCAAAGACGGAGGTCCCCCGCTCCTGAAGCCGGGATGCAAGAATTTCACCCGGCTGGCCAAAGCTATTGAAAGAGCTGTGGACGAACGAGCGGATAGGGTAGCGCCGAGGCAAGCCCAAGATCTCCCGACCTTCAGCGGCGAAGCAAGTGAATGGCTAGCGTTTAATATATATATATAAAGACGTACAGGATCACACCAGCGGAGAACCTGGCCAGGCTGAGGGCCTGCTTACGTGGAAAAGCGAGAGAGACAGTCGCAGCGTTACTCGTATCCGCTACAGAACCGTCGCAGATCATGAGGACGTTGGAGCAGCGGTACGGCCGGACAGAGGCCATCATCGACCGCGCCCTCAAAGATCTGAGAAGGATGCCGGTAATAGGAACGTCGACAACAGAGGTGATTGACTTCGCCATTAAACTACAGAACATCACCACCATCGTCGCGGATATCGACACAGATTCTAATAATCCCGCGCTTGAGATGAAGTGTCAGAGAAGCTGATACTTCCACTGGTGTCACTACACTGAAAAAAACAAGGAGGACACTAGACCTACGATCATCAAGATGGCAGAGTTTTTAATGAGCGAAGCCGATCTCATGACCCGACGTCTGCGAATAGCATCACCAACGAGACGAACGAGCGCGCTACCCACGAAGCAGCCCCCGAAGCAACCCACTAGGCAACCCATACCGAAAGCAACGATGTCGGCACCTCGGCGACAGATGACGGATCGTGGCGCGGCCGTATACGCCGCCGTAGAAAAGAGCGAACAGAGTACCGAATGTCTCTGTTGCGGCGCCGCACACGTAACGCCGAAGTGTAAGAAGCTGAACGACATGTCGTTATCGGACAGATGGGAGTGGGCGAAAACAAATAAGATGTGCTTCCAATGCATGAACAGCACGCACAGAAGGTTCAAGTGTAAGGCACGCAAATGTGGTGTGAGAGAGTGTCGTAAGCCACACCACGCCCTGCTGCATCCTCCAGAAGAGCCGCTTAAGCGGCAGGAGGACACCGCGATTACAAGCCGCAGCACGCTTGCCAGAGAACAGCCAAGTGTTGTTAAAGGTGTGTCCTATCATCGTGAAAGGCAAGACGGGACGCGAAGTAGAGACGTACGCGATGCTAGATGAAGGCTCGACGGTTACACTCATCGATGCGGAGATCGCAGAACAGATCGGAGCCGAAGGTCCGACGCGATCTCTGAGAATTCATGGGAATCGAGCTGGCACGAAGCCTCAAGCCGAGTGGCTGATGTCATCATCAGAGGGCGACACCATACGGACGAAGAACACTCGGTGAGGGCGCGTACGATCCGGGATCTCACCCTAGGAACGCAGCGAGTGAACCCGGAAATACTCGCGTACGGACACCTGCGACAACTCACTTGCGAGCAAGTGTGCTACGAAGATGCCAGACCCAAGGTCTTGATCGGGTCAGACAACTGGCATCTGATTGTTACGCGGAAGCTGCTCACAGGAAGGCACAATCAACCCGCAGCGTCGCTGACACGACTGGGATGGGTCATCCACGGAACGGTACCCAGAAGTGTCGTGGAAGACGAGGAACATGTCCTCCACGTGCGGTTGACACAGCGCAACGCCGAGCCAGACATGCGGCATATAGAGGGCATAATAAAAGCGCATTACGACATCGACGCGTTGGGTATATCGTCGAAGAGATTACCCATCGCTAAGGAGGAGCGCGCCGTCGCCACATTCAACCGCACAGCGACGAGAGTGGATGGGCGATACGTCGTAGGATTGCCGTGGGAGAGAGATAACGTCGTTCTACCTCCCAGCTACGACATGGCAGCGAGCCGACTGAGGGGAATAGAGCGGCGGATGGATCGCTCTACGGAATTCCGGCTGGCGTATACCGCGGAGATAAACAAGTTGTTGGACAAGGGTTACGCCGAGAAAGTAACCGACGACCGGTTCAACAACGACCGCGCGTGGTACCTTCCCCATTTCGGAGTGACGAATCAGAATAAACCCGGAAAGCTGCGACTCGTATTCGACGCCGCGGCCCGTTCGAAGGGAATGTGCTTGAACGACGTACTGCTGGATGGGCCAGATATGCTACGGTCGCTTAACGGTGTGTTATACCGTTTCCGCGAGAAGCCCGTAGCTATCACGGCAGACATACGAGAGATGTTCCTGCAGATTAAGATACGGGAAGAAGATAGAGCAGCACAACAGTTTCTGTGGCGAGGAGATGACAGGATTAACCCGCCGCAGAAATACGTAATGACCTCAATGATTTTCGGGGCGAGGAGCTCACCGTTCATCGCACACAGCGTTCGAGACAGGAACGCGGCAGAGCACCGAGAGTCGCACCCGTCAGCGTACACCGCCATAACAAGGAACCACTACATGGACGACTGGTTCGATAGCTTTGACTCCGAAGAGGAAGCAGCCCGCGCCATTCGAGAGGTAGTAGAGGTTCATGGCGGGATAGGATTCACGCTGGCGGGTTGGAATACAAACCGACCGAGCCTGCTAGAGAATGTGAGTGAGGACCAGCGATATAGGACGCCGAAGGAACTAGCCAATATATATATATATATATATATATGTAGCCGAAGACCAGCTGGCGTTCAACACCGGCATGCCACGCGTCCCACGAGAAGTGAAGCACGGCACGCGGATACCGACGAAAAGGGAAGCCTTAGGAGCGGTGATGTCATTGTTCGACCCGCTCGGGCTGCTGAGCCCTTACACCATCACGGCAAAAATCATCTTGCAGGCGCTGTGGGTGCAGAAGGTCGAATGGGATGACTCTCTGCCCGCCGAGGAAGCGCGGATGTTCCAGGAATGGAGAGATGACTTAGCCTATATAGAGGAACTGAGATTGCCGCGATGGTATGGCACGAACGACAGCCAACGGTCGCAACTGCACGTATTCACGGACGCAAGCGAACAGGCATATGCCACAGCCGCGTATTGGAGGACGGAACGCGAGGATCGTAGCGTTAACGTCGTCCTGGTAGCAGCCAAAGCGAGGGTAGCGCCCATGAAAGCGCAGAGTATACCCCGGATGGAGCTTCAGGCGAGCCTGATTGGAGCCCGACTGGCCGCTGACATATTGAAAGAACATAGTCGCGAGGCCGAAGTCTTCCTATGGACGGACTCGAAAACGGTGCTACACTGGATAAGGAACGACACCGTCAGATATACTCCATACGTGGCTCATCGTTTGGCAGAAATCGCCGAACTGACGAAACCGACACAGTGGCGCTGGGTACCGACTGCCCACAACGTAGCCGACGACGCGACCCGCGCGGGATACACACAAATGACCGCTGCCGACAGATGGTTTGTCGGGCCGGCATTTCTGTACGCTCCGGAGCAAGAATGGCCTCATGAGAGCGAGCCCGTCCCAGCAGAGATGGTAGCACACGTCCGGGAGGAGACAGAACCCGTGATCGACATTGCACGGTTCTCTTCATATGACCGAGTGAGGAGGACCATGGCGCAAGTGCTACTGTTCGCAGATAAATGCAGGCGACGGGCACAGAAGCTAGGCACAGAGCATTTCGCCAAAGCGGAGCAACTAATAATACGGCAGGCGCAACAGGACAGTTTCCCGAAGGAAACGCGGTGTCTACGCGAAGGAAAGACCGTAGAAGGACAAGTCGTCTGTTCCGCCTGGATCCCGTTTACAAGGATGGCATAATACGCTTGAACGGACGTATAAACGCAGCACAGGTGCCACTAGAAATGAAGAATCCACCCATACTGGACGGAGCGCACCCGTTGGCGCAGATGATGATTAAGAGAGAACACGAGCTACATCATCATGCCGGCAGAGAACAGACGGTGAACACCCTGCGCCAATACGTGTGGATGCTGCGTTTAAGGCCGACCGTCAAGACCGTATTACGCAAATGCACAACATGCGCCGTACGCCGGAGGAACCCCGACGTCCCAGTGAAAGGGAACTTGCCAAAGGAGCGACTCGACGCATACGCCCGGCCGTTTACAAGATGCGGTATGGATTGTTTCGGGCCTATGTGGGTGACGATAGGTCGCAGGCGAGAGAAGCGATGGGGGCTCCTATTCACGTGTATGGTCACCCGGGCCGTGCATATAGAACTCATAGCGGGGTTATCGACCGACTCTGCTATAATGGCGATACGACGCATGGCAGCGCGTCGCGGCTGGCCACGAACCTTTATGTCGGACAACGGAACGAACTTTCGCGGAGCCGACGTGGAGCTTACGACTGCGTTTAAGTATATTCAGAATGGCTCCCTGAACTGGAAAAGTACGTCAGCAACAAGAGGATAAACTGGCGGTACAGCGACCCGGGCGCACCGAACCAAGGAGGAGCGTGGGAGCGACTGATAAGGAGCGTGAAGAGAGCGCTAGCAGTGGTACTGCACGAGCGGGCGCCGAGAGAAGAGGTGCTCGCAACGCTAATGACGGAAGCAGAACACACCGTCAATTCACGCCCCTTAACCCACGTCTCAGTGCGACCCGAGGACGAAGAGGCGCTGACCCCCAACCATTTTCTGATGGGCTCAGCCGCCGGCCTACCGTACGTAGGTACCACCGACGTTGCCGACCGCAGAACGTGGCGCGCAGCACAGGCGCTCGCGGATAGATTCTGGCAGCGGTGGTTACGAGAATACCTACCGACGCTGATGCCCAGAGACGACGTACGACGGAGCACGGCAAACATCAAGCCGGGCGACATGGTTTTAATAGTGGACGGCCTGCTACCTCGTAATCTGTGGCCGCGTGGGCAAGTGGAGCGCACCTATGAGGGGCCCGACGGCGTGGTGCGAAGTGCGGACGTGAGGACGCGAGGGGGAATTTTTCGAAGGCCGACCCGAAGGCTAGTGGTCCTCCCTAGGGATAAGGGCTGCGAAGATCTGCACCGGGGGGAGGCTGTTGCGGACCACGAGTCGGCATCGAAAATATGTAAATAAATTTTGTGTATAAATTTGTATTTTTCCAGTGTTTTGACTATTGTTTAGGTTAGACTATTGTTTGTACCATATACCCTTTGTAGCGGCATAGATACTGTGAATTCTATGTCCGCCCATTGTGTAAATTCTTAGGGATCACAGCTTTAGCGTAGCCTGAACATGTGGCATTTAGTCGCACGTGGTTTTTTGTAGTTTTTTGTATTGTTACTATTGTATTTAATTTTAAATGTGTGCGTATTCGCTGTTCCGGCCCGTCGGTCACCGACATGTGCAGGAATTGTCGGGAGGGTGGGACGGCCGACGCGCACGGCTCGGCGGGGGTGGGGAAGGACGCGCTCGGGCGCCCGTAAAAGGCGGGTTGGTTCTCGATCGCGCTCTCTTACGCATACGCCACCGACGAAGAACCACCGCCGGCGCAACGACCAAGAAAACCCCACTCCGGCCGGCCGACCCATAGAATAAGAAACAAATTGAAATACAGTCCACATATTTTGAAAATCGAAGATCTTTTAATTGTGTACCCCACAGATAGGTTACTTACATTGTTCTCAAGGTTACCGCTACAGAAATTAAGATAATAACCAGTCGTTATAAATAATAGTGTTCAACTATAGAGCTATTTGAAATGAAAATTGTTGACATTTGTCTAAGTGCACGGTGTATATCTAAGTATAAAGAGGCAGTACTTAAATTATACATAAGTATACATATAAGTAAATTGCTGTCTCTATATTAGAGTAGTGTATCCACTTGACTTAACCTTTCTTAAAGTAGGTATATGTAATTTAGATTATGACAATCGGAATTAATATACCAATAAATATATTGAATTAAAACTGATTGCGAAGATTATCTCCTTTTCGGACTTACGACTTTAGTTTGAGGGCACCGCTAGGGGTTCGAACTTCGGCTCAGGCCGTCGTAATATCGATCCCCGTTTGGGAATAGCTCGGAGGGGAATCTAAATGCAAAATTCTCATACTCTATGTATGTATTAATATTTTTTTTTTATTGCAAATAATACATTTTTTTATGTGGAATTCTGACAGTATCTGTGTTACTTAATTCAATAAACGTAATAAATAATATTTTATATATATATATATTTTAACATACATTCTTATTCTCAAATCCACAAATGTACTTAGTTGCCAAAACAACAATAGATAACAGTAATTTTTTTTTAATTATTAATAACTTAGTCTAGTATCTTATCTGTGGTTCTAGGCAGTATAACAGCGCCATCAATTCCGAAATTAGGTAGAGTTATATACTATCGGTAAAACAATAAAGTTACACAAAAAAAAACAAGTAAATCTCCAAGTACACAGATCAAAGAGGTCCAGGTTGTTGACATTTAGTAAGGATATTTCTCTTTATTATACTTGTATTATTACTAAAAAGCTGATATCATACAAAATTATATAACTTGATGTCCTTTGAAGACCATCAAGCAAGCAAAATGAGCATCAATATGAGATAATTTATTTTTGGCACTGACGAATGACTTCGATAAGTGGAAATAAAAAAAAAACATTAATTCAGGTGTGTAGTGTAGGTACAACGCGAATTGTGCTGTTTTTGTTGTACAATATACATTATTTTTACTTTGTCGGCGACGTGGATGTCGAATAACCGGTTCCCGAGTAGCAAAGTACAAGGTAAGCGGATATATTATCTTTTCAGTTATACCGTGAGTACGTGATGTTAATATGGCTTTATAATAAATTTCTTTTGCCCGTCTAATATTTTTTACCAGCTACTTTTACCGCGTGACTTCGTTTTTTTTTATATAATGGCTTGAAGCCGGTAAGTTTTTTTTTTATATATTAATATAAATAAGATATATATAATGCTATATATACGCGAAATTACATCATGAAAATTAATCAAACCAAATCAAAAATAGCTTTATTCATGTAGGTCCATCACAGACACTTATGCCAAGTCAGATTAATCTGCAGTATGATACATAGTGTAATAATTACACTACTTATTGAATACCCTAACATGACAGTTACATCCTACATTCTACATCCAGTAACAATACTTAAGACTACTCTTACATGATAAAAAAACATTATACAAAATAAATTGTGGGAGTATGTCCAATTAACAGATAAATTAATAACAATGATAAATAATTATAACTTAATAAAATGTAATTGATATATTTTGCTATCAAATAGAATTAATTCTCTAATAAAGTATTTTTGTAAGGACTAGTGCTCCGCCCTGGCTCTGCACCAATGTTCATAACTTTGTGGGTTTTGCATATACTAATACTAGCTGCCCCACGCAACTTCGTCTACCTCACATTTACTTAACATTTATATATTACTAGCTTTTGCTCGCGGCTTCGCTTGCGTTAATTTATCTCCTTAGGGGTGGAATTTATCAAAATTATTCCTTAGGGGATGCATGTAAAGTCTCAGCCCGATCCCCAAGGGGATAAAATAGGGGATGAAAGTTTTACTGAAACTTTGTCAATATTAAACCGATAGGGCTGAGACTTTACATGCATCCCCTAAGAAATAATTTTGATAAATTCCACCCCTAAGGAGATAAATTAATATTGACATGTTTGTATTCTATTAATATTGACGGTTTAATATTGACAAAGTTTCAGTAAAACTTTCATCCCCTATTTTATCCCCTTGGGGGTAGAATTAATCAAAATTCTTTCTTAGCGGATACCTACGTCATGACGTCTACCTGTATACCAAATTTCAGCCCGATCCGTCCAGTGTTTTGGGCTGTACGTCGATAGATCACTATGTCAGTCACCTTTGAGTTATATATATTTAGATATTACGCCCAATTCACATAATATATTTTTAAATTATAGCCTATGTGTTATTCTGATATATAACCTATATATATATATATATATATATATATAAAGATTGTATATAGTAATTGTAACAAGTTGCTGAAATTAAGATGCTGAGGTGGACGTGCGGCATTATCAGGATTTTGTGCGGATTTTGTCTGTCAGTTTGTTCTTGCTAATCGCTAAAACGACTAGCCTGATTTTGACTGGACTTTTACTTGCAGATAGCTAATGTTATAAGGAGTAACTTAGGTTAGAATTTTATGTAAAGTATTGAAATGCACTTCAGGGGGAAGAAGGGGATTGTTAGTAATGTGGATTGATAACCCCATTGCTAGCAATGTAGCATGTCAGGTCGACCTCCACGCGGTTCCCCCTGGAAACCTTTGTGATAAATTCTTGGTGAATTTGTCACAATGATATTATCATCATCCCTACCAGCGTTAATGCAGGCAATTTTTAAATAGTTGATAATGGAATGGTGGAATAATGGATTTCGTAATATCCTTATTGCCATGTGTATGCGAAGGTTTTTATTTTTTTTATTGGGTTTTTTGGGCTATTGTTAGGTGTTTGGATCTGTAGCACTGCAACCTACATAGATAGCTGATGTCAGGGACAAGAATGTTACTACTATACTTCACCAAAAAGGCCGCCAGTTTGTTTGAAATTACAGTTATATACAAAATTAGGAAGGTGCGTCAAAATGACGTTATAGTTTTATGCGTAGTGTTATCAGGATTATTCACCGAATACTCGCTTGTATTAAAGTGAAGTGTAAATATAGGCTTTAGATAGGTAACTAATATCAAACCTTTGCACAATGAACAGCGAATGACCAGTAAACTAAAACTAAACTGGTAATACCATATGACAGAAGAATATACTGTGACATCCTATATAGTACTAGTACTAAGATATATATTTTTTTCAATTCTCAAAGAAATGAAATGACGTTCTCTTCAGGTACTACAGTACGGGGATTTTCAAGTATTAAAGTTTCTTAAGGGTTGACAACTCGCACGTAACACCTCTTATGTTTCTGGCGTCCATATATTACGGTAACTGTTTACCATCAGACGGGCCGTATGCTTGTTTTACCACCATCTAATAAGTATATAAAATTCTCGTATTACAGGATTCGTGTTTATACACCTTCGAAACAATTTTGATGAAATTTTATATGTATATTCAGTAGGCCTCAGAATAAATTTATAACAAATTTTTATTGTGTTAAATGTGGCTCACCCCAAAAATTTTTTTCATTTTTCGCCAATATTTTTATTTTTATTTTTTTTATAATGTGCCATTAAACGTACACACAACCCTAAATTTTCACCCTTCTACGATCAACTCTTACTTTTTAATAGCGATTTTAATTTATATGGCAAAACAACGTTTGCCGGGTCAGCTAGTCGCAGTAAAAAAAACGATAGCAATATTTGTAGTCTATCATAAACTAATTTGTATTGAATAGCACAGGGCCCACCTACATAGTCGTATAATTGCCTTTAAATGGCAATCTCGTAGTGTATTCAGTTACATGTGACAATTACACAATTTAGTGCATTCGGATCTCGTTTTGAACCACGGCTTTGCTTGCTAAGTGTCCGTCATTATAAAATGGCTGAGTATAGACGTCCACGCTTCGTTGTGGCTCAGTGTTTTATTAATTACCAACTCCCCGCCCCGGCTTCGCTCGAGTGTACATATATTATACATATAAACCTTCCTTTTGAATCACTCTATTGTTAAAAACTGCATTAAAATCCGTTGTGTAGTTTTAAAGGTCTAAGAGGAGAAACAGCGACTTAATTTTATACTATGTAAAGATGAATTTTCCGTTCTCGCATTTGGGATAAAATTTAGTATTAATTATTAGAAATTCAAGCCCCAATTGTAACCACAATTAGTAAATAAATAATATAGTTTACTTCATCCTAAGGGACTCAGACATAGACACTAAAGACAGACAGACCAAAACCGGATTGATGCATTTGTGATATATATATATATATATATATCAAATTTA